TCTCTGCAGACCCTAGATTTGCTGAAAAGGGTTAAGTGAGCAGAATCTGAGTTCTCTAGGGAACTGCCAGATTTATTTACAAAGACAGAACTTTAATTGGCAACTTTTTGATTTAGAGCCTGGAATAATTTATAAGGTAGCTGGAAGGAGTCTACAAATTCAGGGAAATGGAATGTTCCTTTCACAAACTGGAAAAAAAAGGGGGGGCAGATTTTTGTTTTTGACATGCTCATGCATCTCTTTTTGCTTCTGCCAGATCATTTTATTTGTGCCAGATGTGAAAAGTTTCCAGTGAAGAGAGGTATATTTTTTAGAAAGCCCAGGCTTGCTCTGTATGACACATTAACTTTAAAAAGGCAGAAGGGAAGAGTGATTTTGTGTGTTCGAGAGGAGTGTCTGTGAACTTTCCTGTGTCTTCCCTTCACCCCACTCCAGGGTTTGCATGGCAAGCTTGAAAAGAGAAAAGGGGAAGAAGTAATGGTTGGTGCCAAGAGCAACTCTTTAGTCCCTGTGTGGTGGCAGCAGCAGGGGCTCTAACCATGGCCCCAAAAGGTTACACTTTCTCACCTCCTCCTGCAGTGTCCATTTGACACCTGACCCTTTTGCCTTCACCTTCATCATATACTAAAGAGGTTCCCCACAAATTACTCCCAGGGTTGGTGTCATAAAGCAGTCTGTATTTTCTCATAAGAACAATTATACAAATAAATCATATCTATGCTGAATAATACTTCACAAAAAGCGAATACAGCCTATAAGAATTTTTTTTTTTTTTTGGTGGCTGGCCGGTGTGGGGATCAAAATCCTTGACGTTGGTGTTATAACATCGTGCTCTAAACAACTGAGTGAACCAGCCAGCCCAGCCTATAAGAATTTAAAGTAAAAAATATACTGCAATATTTTACGATGGTCATAAATATACTTTACAACGGGACCAAGATACTAAAATATACAAGTCTAGCAAACACAATACAACTCTATCACCACAAGTTNTATAAGAATTTTTTTTTTTTTTTTTTTGGTGGCTGGCCGGTGTGGGGATCAAAATCCTTGACGTTGGTGTTATAACATTGTGCTCTAAACAACTGAGTGAACCAGCCAGCCCAACCTATAAGAATTTAAAGTAAAAAATATACTGCAATATTTTACGATGGTCATAAATATACTTTACAAGGGGACCAAGATACTAAAATATACAAGTCTAGCAAACACAATACAACTCTATCACCACAAGTTTGACCTAAACTAACACATCAGCAATAATAAATATTAAATATTTAACAATAATTTTTTCTTGCCTTCTTAAAAAACTAGTAGGGCTTTTTGGGGATGATTTGGGTATCCCACTTCTCTGTAAAAAGCTTTCCAAGGAAATCTGAAATGATAACCTCTTTTCCCTCTTGATACATTTCCTAATTTTGATTATATTGCCCACATATAACTATGTTTAGAGTGCTTTGTAAACAACAGATGAAACTTCAACATACTGTGAACATCCCATCAAATGCGGGTCCCATTTCTATTTGCATTTCTCCAGTAGCATGGAACTCACTTCCTTCTGAAGCAGTCCACTCCATTTTGAAATTTCTCTATCAGAATGTTCCTCCTCTCACTGAGTTTTGGGGTTGTTTTCTAATACCTTTACACTTATTTGTCCCAATTCCTTCCAGAAAACGAAAGAACAAGGAAAATCCCTCTTCCTTATGACAGCCTCTTAATGTCCACAGAGAGTTCCAAGGTACCACGTTCTCTGGAGAACAAAAATCTGAGAAAGTCGAAGGAATTGTCCACACTCCTTGTGTGTGTGGAGGTGTTGAAGTACTTTAGGAGCTACTTAATCTTTCTCAAAGATAAATACCTCTCATCAGACTATATTTAAGTACAAACATAAACAGGCTTTATGGAAAAGAATCACTTTGTTCATGTAGAGGAAATCTCTCTCCCAGCAAGTAATGTTTTTGTTCGAGGTTAGTATAGTGCACTGGGCTATAATAAATCCAAGCAAGTAACCATCCTTACGTGTGCATACAGTTTCTTCTTAAAGGCTACCCTTTGTGTTGCCCGTTCACACATGATCTGCAGAGCACGTTCTGCCACACCCACTGTTCTCATGCAGTGGTGGATCCTGCCAGGCCCAAGGCGGCCTTGGGAAATTTCAAATCCCCTGCCTTCACCTGTGAGAAAAAAAAAAAAAAGAACATGAAAATGGCCCAGCCCATTCCTCTTGTTATTTACACAAATCCTGGGAAAATGAGCATCCCTCAATAAAAATGGCATTCTGGTGAGAAAAAAGTCAGTTGTATGGGGCCGGCCCGTGGCTCACTCGGGAGAGTGCGGTGCTGATAACACCAAGGCCACGGGTTCGGATCCCATATAGGGATGGCCGGTTTGCTCACTGGGTGAGCGTGGTGCTGACAACACCAAGTCAAGGGTTAAGATCCCCTTACTGGTCATCTTTTTAAAAAAAAAAAAAAAAAAGTCAGTTGTAGAATAAGGCTTATTATACATTTATGGGGATTTTGATCTCTATGTCTTAAAAACCACCATCATTAAACACTCCAATCAAATTTAAAAGCTGTACTTACTATACATAAGCTACTTTATTAGTGCTGCAATAGTTACAAAGGTGGACAAGACATAATCCCCACCCTAGGAATTTAGAATTCAGAAGCAGAGACAAAGATAAAGGCTATAGAGAGAAACAAAGGTAAAGGAGGGACCTCGAGATTGTCTGTTCACCTCTGTACTCTTAGGGCCTGGCAGGTATTAGGGGCTTGTTGAGTGGATGGGGTGAGAAAGAAAGACAAAAACATTCCTGAAAAAGGTGGCATTTAATGTTTTTTGAATGTTGGGTAGGATTCCAATAAGCAAGAGGGTGGAGTCATTCCAGGCATGCAGTGTTGAAAGTTATTTATGCTTCTCACTTGTATATAAGACTTTAATTCAAAAAGTATTGAGGTTTTCTTAAAACAAGTAGAGGCCTACAGATCATGCTTAGGTAAAATAGTGTTGCTCTGAATTGTGTAATTTTTATATTTACCTATGTTTTCAATTGA